TCACCCACTTCTAATTGATCGGGGATTGCATTAGGCGGAAACGATACTGTGATATACTTAAAATTATTTATCTTACCCCTGTAGTATACACTGCAAACCCATCATATATGACATATTCTTGTCCAGGTGTTAATGGTTTATTGATATAACCACTATATTCCCATCACCCACTTCTAATTGATCAGGGATTGCATTAGGCGGAAACGATACTGTGATATACTTAAAATTATTCATCTTACCCCTGTAGTATACACTGCAAACCCATCATATATGACATATTCTTGTCCAGGTGTTAATGGTTTATTGATATAACCACTATATTCCCATCACCCACTTCTAATTGATCAGGGATCGCATTAAGCGGAAACGATACTGTGATATACTTAAAATTATTTATCTTACCCCTGTAGTATACACTGCAATCCCATCATATATGACATATTCTTGTCCAGGTGTTAATGGTTTATTGATATAACCATTATATTCCTTATCATTACCCACTATAAGTTGATCAGGGATTTCATTCAATGGAAACGATGCTGTAATATACTGATTCTCTTCTAAATCACGCTTTCTCTTCTGACTCACTTCTTCCACAACTAGAATGTAACTCCTAAAGCATGAACAGATTATATATAAAGAATGATGACCAAGGTAAAAGGCTTTTGGAAATGGTGTCAAAGCAAAATGTAAGCATTGTAACATATTATAAATCAATAAAACCAATACAATCCATTCACTAATTGCAAGTCAATGTCATTGTGAGGGAGATGGAATGAAAGACTTACTATTGCCATAGAAACCATTTAATTTTAATGATTGAAAAGATGTTTTATTCGGACATACTAACACCCACATAAATTGTATACAGATGTACAGAGTAATAGTTACAGAACTCATATAAAGAATAAGTTAATACAAATTGCACAAACTTTTGATAAAATTTTAAATTTAGCTAGCAAATATTGCCACTTTCAAGATTTTCTTATTTTAAGTTATTTGTGCATAAAGAGAGTAGACACAGCATGGCTTAATATATGTCCTATAAATCTTCTGCTTTCTGTGCATGTATACATACTGGTACATGTATCATCTTTTTTATGATGTGCTATCCCAGAGTAAGTGAATGTTTCCATGGCATCTGTATATACTACTGTTGACATATTTACCATACCGGTATACAATATGTTCATAAATCATACTTACATAAGTTGTGTATCAGTCTTTATGTCTGAGTTTGACTTGGGTTTTCTCAAATCAATAGTCGCAGTGTGATCTGTTAAGTTTAGTTCACTTTTCTCATCAAACTCCTCCAGAATATCAGAAACACCAACACCTATAAATGCAATTATTATCAATGCCATCATTTATCACATATTATCCATGCCACTATGTACCACATTATCTTAAATGTTCTACTACCTGTACTGGTTAGACTATTCATGTCTCCAATACATTTTTTGCGTTTACGCGGCTCTATTCACTGTGGATAAGTTTCATTTTCACACGAAATAAAAATTAGTTTGTATTCAATTTGAACTGTGTTGCGCATGTAATTTTTGTTGGCATTCAGTGTACAACTACATACTCTTCTTATAAATATTCATGTTCAAGGGCCATAATCATGATCTTATAGTAGATGCAAGTAAAAGTCTTTTTTTTTTACTAGTTTTATCAAATTTTCAATATACTGTTATAATACAATAGCAATAATCTCTAAAGTTAGGTATATTGCACAATTCACTCCATAGACTATTCATGTCTCCAATAAAAACGAAAATCAGAACCAAGTTCAGTATCTCGTCTCATGGTCAAATTCACGTTTCCTCAATTTACTAACTTAGTTAATTACTATTAATATGTCTGTCAACGTTCCTACATTCTTTTTTGAATGTTATTTTGACTAGTTACATGTATATGCAACTGACACTACCTAATTTGCATGAACTAAATTAATTCCTCAAATAATTATTACTGGCAACTGTTCCGGAAGTTACTTGTTGATATTCTGAGATGAGTTGAAGTAATGCTTTTTATCAGAATGAGTTTGATGTAATTTATAAACAGAGGCATTTCATTTCGTTCAGAGGTTTTTAAAGGTTGTTCTTCAAAGCAATTATTATTATATTAATAATCATTTGATAAACTTACCAATTTTGGTACCAGTGCTAACTGTTCTAGGATCACCAAATCCCTTTGATGTACTTGCATTTACTGATATTTCAAACTGTGTTCCTGGAGGCAATCCTTCTAGTGTGTGTGTATGAGCACTGCCCTCAACAAGTAGATCCTTAGATTCCAACACAGTAGATGAATGAACAGATTCAGATGATCTATATGTTATCTATTATGAAATGAAAATAATTAAAAATTGTAACATATGAACTGCAGTTTATTTTGTTGCATCATGAAAAATATAATCAGTTTTTTAATACCTAATAATATTGTAAATAAGCAATAAAATTTCATATCTGTTTACTATGCTATTTGGACAACCACTATCTTTCTATTCAAATTTATTTTGTAATGCATATTATAGAACATCAAAAAACACAGCAAAATTAGTTCTAGAACCAAGCAGTTTGTGATGGTCGGTTAGCATGTAATGCATATTTCCACTGATGATGGATAAATGCTAGCATGGTATTTAATATGACTGATATGCAAATCGCATGAGCGGAATCTTGATGTCTTAAAATACATGTACATTCATTGATATGATACACTACATTAAAGAAGCCTATGTCACAAGAAATGAATTAAGGTGAAGTATTTTGACAAGCTTTTGAATTTTAATTCGATTGCCATATTTCCTATTAAGTACTGTCCTTGCACACAATTGTTGATGATGTGATTACATTTCCGCACCCCTCACAATGTTAGGGGATGATCGATGATCGTGTTTTTTTTCTCACACCTGTAGTTACCGGTATATCCTTTTTTTTGTTACCCAAAATAGATAGAGGGATTGAGAAATGGCAGAAATGCTCGATTCCAATGACTTTTTAGCACTAATATAGCAGTCAATCAGCTATCTCGATATAGAAGTATCATATGATGTGTGTGTAAAGTTTGATTGTAAGTGGCCAAGGCATTTCCACATTGAAATGTCAATGTATTTGGATTGTCTGAACAGGGACTAATAATTACTTACCCCATAATGTAAAATATCACCACTGAATATATCAGGATCTGTCCATGTGAATTTGATGCTGTTTTCAGTTGTTCTTTGTACATCGATGCTGGCAGGTTCATGAGGAACTGTGATTACAAGTATTATTAAGATGTGTCATAAACATGTATATATTGTATGTTACAAATAAATACACAAGTACAATGTACAAAAATAGGCCAATGGCCTGTTGCTCAACTGCTATTGTACAAAAGATTAGTGCTGTATATGCCACAACTTTTCGTTTAAATTTGTACTTTTAAATGAAATATCGCCAAACAACCACACAAAGTTGTCAATGGAATAATAAACACATGTATGCCTAACACCAAAGCATTGGTAATAGTGGTTAGTTGAAATTCCATTTTTAACCAAAAATGACAAAAATATTTGCCAAAATTAGAGAATTAAAGATATGGCCATGGGATGAACAAATCTAATAGATGTCAACACAAGGTACATACACACCAAATATCAAAGCATTCAGGCTACCGGTTTTGAAGAAGAAGTTCATTTTAAAATATTCGCCAAAATTAGGAAATTTAAAAATTTCCTTACCAAATTAACAAAACTGATAGAGGACAACCCAAGGCACATGCACTATAAATATCAGCACTGTAGACCACTTAGTGTCATAGTAGTGTAAGCTACACACACAGTAATATATCAGGGCAGTGGGCTAAATGCGGTCATGGGTACTCGGGTTCGATAACAAAATACCCAGCTCAGTGTTGCATGTAAAGTTAGAATGTTGTATTAACACATAACAAACAGAAACACAATCGTAATGAATGCTACGTGGATAAAGTAATACACAGTAATGTGTCACGTAACGCAGTTATTTCTCAATAAAAGTCTCAATAAAAAGTCAAAAATACAATTACAAGTTCTGTAATGTGCTATCAAAATGTATTACAAGATACTTCTCATTACCTGGTTACTATTATAATGACTAACAGGAATATCTATGCACAGTACTGTATAGTGCCACTAACTGCTGCAATCATATAGGCCAACACATCAGTACAGAGTACTGAAGAGAATGTATGGCATACGCAGTAATCCTATCTTACTCAATACAAATGGCTACCACATACACAATACAGTATTTACTAACTAGAAACACTAAGTGCTGATATATACTACGTAATAGGTACTAAGGCTGCGAATGCCTGAGTATTCACTAGATACATAGAAGTATATGCTAGTAACAACAGAGATTAGCACTCTGATATTAAATACAGGTACTTGGTAAAATAAAAGGAAAATACTTTAAAGTTACTATAATTGAAAAGATTATTTAATATCTAGTCTTACGGTAACGAAGGCGTACTAAATACAACAGTATACATCAGCTTAACTGTAAAACACTAAGACTATCGTAATGCAACTTGTGTGTTCAAATAATACACAACCAATGCAGTCATCTACAATGCCATAACAGTAGATAAGTACAAAAAATTCCTACTCGATTACTGAAATAGTATATTCACAGGTTTATATCAACAGAAAATAGTTAAGTATTCAATAATAAAATAACCCTTGAGTTCAACTACTGCATACTAAAGACATCTAAAATACATTTTAAACATGCAAAGCAGGCCAAAGTTCCAAATTATGCATGTAACACTACAAGTATCAACTATAACAACAATAGGATACGTCAGAAATAGTTTGGTTTAAGTGAATACCAAAATGACACAATTTAAGGTAAGTATTCAGTAATATCACTCACCAGAATGGTAGTCACAATATGTATGTATAGTAAAATACACAATCCAGATAAAGAACTCTGGACTAAATAAATGTATACGACACAAAATAATTATTGGAAAGGAAATATCATGCAAAATGCAAACTACACACTGGCTTGATAAGGTTACGCAATGCCAGTGCAGGCGAATTACACTAAATGCAGACTTTATAATAATAAGAAAATAATAAGTTTGATCACAATGTAGATCCGGGAAATGCACAACAGTGTCACAGTCAATTTATGCACTTTCTACTTGATGCTGAATGTCACACGAATCAAAGTTTGGTAGATGTCTGAGATGGTAAACAAGTCAGTCCGACTGGATGTCGACAACAGATAGTCACGTGATACGAATGGCGGGACTTTTCCACAACTAAGAACAGTTTTTACTTTAGTTGAAATCTCGACGGGACAACATAATTGGTCAGGTCGATCTACTCGAAACAGTTAATACTGGCGTACAGAACTCAAAATGTCAACGATTGAACTCACAGGAACCTGGATACTTGGTTCAACCCTGGTTTCGTTCAACACAATGGCAACAGCAGACTGCAACCTCTGCGGTCGATCCACACAACCACAACTTTCGGAAAAGACTTCTGCCAGTAAAATTCCATGCAAACACGATTTCGTCTGTCCCAAGAGTTCCACAACATCCATAACCACTTTAGTTCAGTCTTTGGAAGGCATTCAGTCGATTTAACAGGAGAATCGACTAGCCCACACAAACGAAAACAATTCGAACATGACACACTAAACCGCCATGCTGACCGACACAGGGACGCACAGACTTATTCATGAACAAAGTTATTCCAACACCATACTATAGAAGGCGCTCTCACTACAGACTGCCACAGTAGCATAGAAGACATTTTAGAGGGGGGGCTAATTTGCATAATTTTTGGCAGATCGACTTCTCATGAACAAATTACCATCTACACTCATCAAGGCATCCACACACCAAAAATCGAATCAAACGGTTCGGCGGTTTTTGAGAAAAAGTCGTGCACAGACAGATAGATAGATAGATAGACGGACGACAGACGCAGGACAGAAACCTATCACATAGGCTCAGCGGACCTATGGTCCGTTGAGCCAAAAATGATTATAGCTGAGAATTACATGAATGATAAGAATCTTACTTGCTTCTGTTGTCTGAATACTCAATTTATCACTGTATTCACCTTCTCCAACACTGGTAAAGGCAGATACCTGAATAAAAACATATAGGCAGCACACAATTTAAGAAGCTATTGTACTTGGCATACAAATCTTAATATACAAATAAGATACATACATTTTTAACTCTTTTTAAACATCTACCAGTATTTGAAATAGAACTGAAAGACTACAGCTTGCACTCACCCAAACACTCATTCACTTATATAGGGTAGAATATGGCATGTAGTCTTGTGCAGTATTATGCAGTCTCATTCAAATCCAAATGAAATGATTAGATTTAAGCTTGACCCCCTCTTCGACATGCATAAAATAGAATGTGTTAGAACAGCCTACATCACTGCACTCACTCATGCCACCTAATGCACCCATCTAATGACTTCACGGTATCATAACTAGTACAACAGAATATTGAAAGAATGGATGTACATGTACATTTGTTGTACTTTATATTTTAGCTTTATAATACTATCAATGAATCAATCAACCAGAAACATTTGTAAAGAAGCTAGATTCAAAACAAAGTTCTGTTCAATAATGCTGTAAGCTTTGTTGAATAAATATGTTTTCAGTCTTTTTCTATATAAGTTGACATCAGTGACTTGACGCATGTCAGATGGTGAGGACTCTAGCAGCTGTGTTTGGGGGTCTTTGAAGTAGTCCAAATAAAAGTGAATTCCCATAAGAGTGTATTTCATGAATTAAAGTGTGCTGAGGTATTTGCTGATGCAACAAATGCGACGAAGGTGGTAGTGCATGGCTTTGCATGTATTACTTATGTGGATATTGCGTGTGTTACTCAGACATTATGTGCAGAAGTAACTAAAGCAAATTGTGACATTGTCAATTTGATCAGAAAACCTGGTAAATTTGGATGAGCAATACTTCGATTTTTAAGTCGTTAAGTTTCAGTTTGTTTTGTGGAATCCATTCTTTGATATAGGCTTCAATTGAGTTAACTGCTGAAGTAAAATCTTTATGATGAAATGCAAGATATTAGCTGATTACTATACTTTGATTAACATATAAGATCTAGACTCCATGTGTAGCAATATAACTTTGTATGAACTTACTTGTATAGTATAGAGAACATTATACTCCAGATTATCTATACTATGTTCATTCAAATCACCAATATCTACCAGAATATCTATTTTATCATTCTCATCATTGGATTTCCAATATATTATTTTATAGGCTGTTAATATACCATTGGGAGGTTCTGGTTCTAGCCATGTAACAGTAATTGTATGCACTGCTGGTTGTAGTGTTACATTTCTAGGCTTAGAAGGAACTGTAATACAAACACATACACTATGTTATGTAATAGACTGTTATTATACCATTGGGTTAATTAGATTATCACATATTGTAAAAGTAGACAAGCCATGCATGGCAGTTTTTGTTTGTTACCGAATTTAAGATATATAGTTTTGTTTATAGTAATATAGTTAGAACATAACCATGAGAGATATGAAAGCTGATGCTTGATTATGATGATTTTTTAACATTAAAATGTTTGACATTCAGTCATTTTGTATCTGATCGTCAAACAAGTGCTTGTCCTCATTATAAGATATTGCTCTGGAAAAGCATTAATAAAACAAAAACGGCCACGAGTAAGCTATTTTGAATCGGATCAGAATACAAAAAGCTGTGCATCAGGGCCCCACATTGTCTAGTGTATGAACAAAATCCATCTATAAACGACAGAGAATTGCTTGATTTTGATGATTTTTTAGCACTAATATGGTCACATTCGGCCATCTTGAATCAGATCATGAAACAAATTGATGTGCATATATATATAATATTATGTATGATGTATGTGTGGTGTTTGATTGTAATCAGTCCAGGCATGTCTAAGATATAGGTCTTGATGTATGTATGTATGCATGGACACACACACACACACGCACGCACAGAGGTCAATCCAAATCCCCGTTTTGGACAGTGTCTGAACAGAAACTAAAAAAATGCAAAATTAATGATTTTCAGCAAACAAAATAGATGCTGAGCAGCCAAATTGCATACAATTTTGACAAAAATCAACTTATAATATACTGCCTCAGTAACAGAATCAATTATTATGTAAGTATTATGCACAGATTTCAATCTAAACCAATCAGGTCTGTGTTGTTCCAGGAAACAAATGTACCAGGTTTCATTATGATGCGATGATTAATTCTTAAAAAAATCGTTGGAAAGCCAAAAAGTAAATTATTATTCAAATTAGGTAATTATTATGGATGTATATCAACCCAAAATAATTAGATCGTTGCATTGTTATTAAAAGAAGTTGTTAAGTACTTGAAATATTGATGGAAATGCTGAAAATTATCATGCAACTCAGGTAAGTAATATGCACAGATTTTAATGTAAAACCTATAAGGTCTGCGCAATGTCACATACAATGATTACATGATTAGTACTGAGATATGGAAAAGCCAAAAATTTACTACCGAAAGTCATTATGCAAATTAGTTAATTAATGCGATAATTACCGAAAACCAATCAAATCCATGAAGTAATTTTTGGGAAATCAGTGGAAGAGTCATGGAACAGCTAACAACTGGTGAATTACCATGCAAATTAGGTAATTAATATTCATGGGTTTTCACCCAAAACTAATCAGGTCTGTGCATGGTCCTAGAGCATCAATGTACCAAGTTTCATTGAAATGTGATCATTAGTACTTGAGATATCAGTGGAAATTTGGCAACTAATATGTTCAGATTTGAAGCCAAATCAAATTAAGTTTGTGCATAAGCCCATTACGTACCAAGTTTCATCAAAATCAAATAAGTGATTTTTTAGATACCAGTGGAACAGTCACAGAACCTCAGAATGCCAACAGGTGTTTGATGGATGCACTGATGGATGAACGGACTAAAGAAACCCAATCCATAAAAAATATTGATGAAACATAGATTCTGCTCAAAATTGAACACTGAAGTTATCATGAGAATACCGCAAAGTAATCACTGAGGCAGTATGGTGATTGTGTCTACCGTTGCATAGTGGAGGTGATCACATACTCCCCGAGTGATCACACCTCCTTTCCTGCTTGTAATCATAATGTTGTTAAATATAAGAGGTCACAATTTCAGCAAAAATTATTTGAGTCTATGCAATCATTTGTGTTAAGAGGCATGGATTTTATTTCAGTATGGCTATATAGTTTTTGAGTTGGATGTAGACAAATGAAAGTGTTCAAATTTGTTTGAAAATGTATTATGTAGACAGACTTATAATGTTCATATGGCATTTTACAGGTTGATGAATTTTATTGTAAATATATTTCATATATTTACTTCATCAATTATTACATTATGGTGATGTATTGCTATTCCTAGTTGTGAATGATAAATCAACTTACCATCCTCATGTGACACAACAGTCACTGAATTACTCTGTGGACTTGTAGCATCAGCATTTTTAAGCAGAGCAACGACTTCATACTCTGTGTATGGTAGTAATGATTCTTCAGTAAATGTGATAACTTTTGTACCCGTTACAATTTCTTCGTAAACTTCTATCTTTCCCATTTCATATTCATCCTCTGTACCTGTCTTCCTATACTTCACTTCAATGTAATCAATGTAGCCATCCACACCATCTTTTTTACACTTTATATCACTACTATCAGGAACCTGGAATATTGAAACAAGACACATTTGAAGATGTCAATACAAATTGGTTCATGTGTATGCAATAAATTTGTGACTAGTTACATGTAAATTGTAATGTACATTTATAAAACTTAATCTTATAGAACAGCTGTACTTACAGTTGAACAGATTTGAATAATCTGTCAACTTATTATCCCATTATCGTTTAACTCAGTCAAAATCTTAATTAGGAGACAATGGCCTTGGATCGATAATCCCCCTTTTTTCACATTGGGTTTTGCTTTCAAAATTTGCATAATATATTTCTAAAAAAATTGAAATTCTTACAAATGCAGCTGAACACAAATGGTTCAATGGAGACTCAAAAAAAAAACTATTATGCAAATTTCTATATTCTTGATTTACCAAAATCATAAGCAATCCTACGCTTGCAGTAGTAATTAGTTGAATCAATAAATGATTACCTGGACATGAACTTCAAGTTGTTTCAACTCAGGTGATAATACATTCTGAATTGTTGGTTTTTGCGGGGCTGTAATACAATTGATCTGCCATGTAAATACATCGAATAATAATAATACATGATCAATAGAAGGATTGCTAAGGATACTGTATATTATTAAATGCCTTGCTCTGTAACCTATGAGCATTACAATAATTTTCGTTATTGTATTCTGTTTGACCCTTGACTATAACTATAACTAACTGATAAATGGAAACACAAAGCAAATAATCGCGGAGCATATATACTGAAGCATATGACATAGTTACCTAAATTCCAGTATTTGTTAATAACCTTATTATTGTACATTTTTTTTAAGACGCTGGAAAGTATATAGGTCAGCTAAAATATTGCCTTCGCTTTCTAAATTTGCATAATCGAACACACCATATGTGCATACTAGAGCCCACTGACCCACTAGCTACATTTGTACATACAAGTTGTGTTTCAATTCAAGCTGTATGTGGTACTGCATATGTCGTCCCAATGTTTGGCTAAAAGATTATCAGGTGATCAATATTTTGCAGATGAAGAAAAACTGAGATGTGGTGCTCTAGCCTACATCATTATGAGCATTCTGAGTAATCACAGTTCATTAGCGTGACTGAACAATATTTTCATTAGTCATAATAGAAATAAATCACAACAGTGAAACTAGCCATCTAGTAATCTTTCAAACAAACATTGGTATGGCATATGCACTATCATTTTTGTCTATATCTAAGCCTTTAGATGATTTATCATATACCTCGTATTGCCCGGCCTCGTAACGCTATGGGAATCCCGATGCGCGAGCCGTGCAATAATTTTCCATATCACGCCCGGGCCCCGTTTGCCATATTTGGTAAATGCATCTATTTTCTGGAACTACTTTCTGTTCACAAACAACGCATGTAATTTGAGTCTGCGCTTGGATAATGGCTGACGATATTATTCTGTGGATGGGAAATATACCGAAAGACCAGTTGGACTCATTATTACCCTGACAAAAGCCTGCATTCCACCACAACCAATCATAAATATAACTGGTCACAAAAATGTGTCAAGTTTACAGCACTA